CAAAGACCGCCTCTTATTTATCTCTCCCCCCAAAAAAAAATTTTTTTTTTTTGGGACATTTAGGCCAATTAAGGCAAACTCACACACACAACGCATACACACAGACTCGAACCTTGGACTTCTTAGTTGGAAGCCTAAGCTCTCAACCAATAGGCCAAGGAGATTTTCTTATTAAAAATTTCTGGTCGTTACCGACTCTATCATCTGGCCGGGGATAGCGAAATAAGTAGACCAAAGCCTCTCGTTTTTTCTAAGGTGGGAGAAAGCGATAAGCCCCCACTGATTCGGATCTCTCTCATCGCCGTATTTCCCATTTCGGTCATTCTCCGCCATCCAAACGCCATCCTCGCCTCGGTCCTCCGCAGCCTCCCGTTCGATGAGGAAGGAAGATCACGAACGGGCCCCACCACCCCACGTCACCAGCGAGTCTGGCGCTTGTCTCGGTTCGGTGTCGGTCCCACCGCACCCACCGATCCACCTACTATCACTGGATTCGTGTGGCGCTCCGTGTAGCGGGATCTGGACCAGAATCGGTGCTAGCGCGTGCCACCTACGTAAGCTCTTTCTAAATGGGAGAAATTACTAATCAGATGGAACAACATGATTTTTTTTCTCTTGTGTATAAGGTGAAATTATTCTGTGCTGTCACCATATGTTATTTGGAGATTAATTATGATGCATCACATTATTTTTTTGTTATGTGTCAGGTGGCGTGACACGTTCTGATTAGTCTATGGATGGTCCGGTGGTTGTACAGAATAATTTCCAGTGTATAGGAAAGAGAATTTAAAAAACTTATGTAGTTTTATCTGATTGGAGTCTGAATGAAAAGTTATGTTTGGACTCCGTACGTAATAATCTCTTTCTAAATGAAGACTTTTTTTTAGGACAACTTGTTTTATAGCTTCCGAAAACAGTATTTTAGTATAAAAAAAATTTAAATAAAAAAATATGTATTAAAAAAAGTGCTTAAAAAAAGTAAGAAAACAGTCATAAACGCAACCTGATTGATAATTAGTTGGAAATATTAATGAAACATTTATGTGTTATGTGTGCATATGGTTAATAGAAAGAAAATTAGATTATAATATTTTGATAAAACGTGAAACAAAATAAACCTAAAAAAATTTGAGTAAAGGCATCAATCAAAATAAATATAAATTAGAAATCCAAACTTTTGAATTAACAATCAAGAAAAAATTGCATCTTTTAATGTAGCTATCAGTATTAAACGTTTTAAATTATGCCCGACATTTTCATCGCATCAAAATCAGCAATGACGGATTTTGACCTAGATTAATAATTTAGTATAAAAATTTAAAAAGTGGTACTAGAAAGCGGCTTTAAGAAGCGGTAAGAAAGCCGTCCCAAACAAAGCCTAAATCTTCGAATGTTAGGATCACACTAAAGATGACATATGAAATGCTTTTATCTCAAGTCGACGAGTATTCATATGACCGACATTTTCAATAATTTAGTACAAAAATAAAAAATGTTGTACTAGAAAGCGGCTTTAAGAAGCGGTAAGAAAGCCGTCCCAAACGAAGCCTAAATCTTCGAATATTAGGATCACACTAAAGATGACATATGAAAAGCTTTTATCTCAAGTCGACGAATTTTCTTTGGGCAGTGATCAGTTTTTGATGAATTGTGATTAGCTTGAGAAATCTCTAATCAAGAAACATGCTCATAGAAAGATAATTCAAATTTAAATAGATAAAATATAAAAGTGTTGCCTACTGGAACATTCGTGGTGGTAGAGAAATAAATTGTTTAGAAAACTAGCTTTATACAAAAATCTTGCACACACACGAATAAGAGAGGGGTGCAAGAGTCATGAGAGACGACAAGTTTTTTATATGAAAAAACTTAAAAAAAAAGGGAATCACGGGGCTTGACCAAGTTAAAATGATTCCACTAGTGATTGTAGTTGATTACAAATGACGTCTTTCATTGGGGGAAGACCTTGGTTCCATGTAGCAAATATACTTCATACATAGTATATTGCATGGTAGGAGTTGAACATAGTGATATGAGAGTTGTTTTAAAAAGAATGTTGTCTTCTCGTTTGGTTGTTAAGATCGTAGTCGAGAGACGAAGATAGAGAAGATTATTGTCGGGTGATAGAGGTTGGAGGGATTGTAGTTGGCAGTTGATGAAGGTAAAAGGAATTATAGTTGGTGAGTGATGCTGGTCATTGGTGAGCGATGGAGGTTGGAGGGACTGTAGTCAGCGGACGACAATGGTTAGAGGGATTGTTGTTGACGAGTGACAGAGGTTGGATGAATGCACGATAATAGCAGTCAGACGGAGGTCCGACGGAGATGGACGAGTAGAGGTTCAACAACGATAGCCTGGTGGCGAGGGTTCATCGGCAGTGGTGCTGATGTGTTGCTTTGGGATGTTCAAGCCTCAGAGCTCTTTTGAGTCTTTAGCCTGGGGTCTAAGCCTCGAAAAGTCCAAACCTCTTTTCATGTGAGGGGCTATTTATAGATCTTGAGAATGACATGCTCAGTAAAGGAGTGCTCCATCGGACAACCCATAATGATTCTCTCGATCATAGAATATTTATTCAGTATTTAAGTGTCTTAATAATGTTAGAATTAAGCGATATTGGGATCGTTGGATTTGTCTCTTTAAGTAATAGTAAGACGATCCAAAAACATGCTATATTTAGATCTCATTTGATCATCCATTACTGCACTAAAGCTTTTAAATATGCTTTAGTCCCTTGATTTGAGCATATTTGGGCTCGAATTGGACTGGTTTCGGTGTCGTTGGGTTCATCTCATTGAGTTGTTCAATTTGATTACAAGTTTGCTTAAATCGGAGTTTGGATGGTACCAACTTTAATTTTGAAAGTTTCTAATTTGGATATGCATAAAAAATTCACACCCCACCAAGTCAAATTAAGTCAATTTCTGGTGACGTATCAAAAAGATTTTATGCTTCATTTTAAAGATTGTATAAATTTCTAAAGTTGAGAGTTTAACAAAACATATGGAAGATATTTGGTTTTGAACAAAACATACTTAAGATCTACAAGAA